CTTCGATCCTTCGAACGGAGCGGAGCCCCAAACGCGACCAGAGACTTCGGCTTCTTCTCGGCCGTCTCACGTTGCCAAGAAGAAACTGAAGTCTTTGATTTAGCTAAGCATTCAAAAGAGTGAGAAAGCTTCTCTCATCTCCAAACTACAGGAAACAGCACAAAGTCTTCCAAGACCACTTCAAACAATCAATATGCTTTACACAGCATTCTGAAGCTGTGACCCTTCCAAACACCGAGAAAGGACCCCAGAACACAGAGAGGCACCACTCTAAGAGGCAAGCAAATTAAAAAGCCAATTCGGAGGTGCATGTGGTAAGCCATTCTCCTCACCCTAAAGTTTCACAGGTCTCGCTGGCCTTCGGTTGAACATTTCAACAGCATCCACTTACTGCCTATGTTTTTTTCGATGATGAAGCAACATCTAGCTTCACAGACCGTCTGTGTCTGTCCGTTCTAGAGTCACTCGCCGAGCTCGTTGCCGTGTTGCTCCGCAGCTCGTGTGTCCGATCGCAGCCGTTGGTCCAACGAAGGGCCAGTGGTTCCCCAAGGAGCGGAGTCACCCACCGAGCTACGGCGGCACCGAGCCGAGGCCCTACTCTCGCTGAGAAGCATCGTTTCAGCCAGGAGCTGTTCACCGAGGAGAGGGGTGGGGGAGAGACCCCTCGGTCTGACGTCAAGTCCAGTTCGACCCATCGGTTCAGCGAAGGAAGGTTTTGTTCGGAGCCCCTTTTTGGACTTGGTGGAACACCTCAGTTCGAGCATTTCCCAAAGGCTCCATGTGCGGAATATTTGACCCCTGAAGTCATGGCACCAGGAAAAAGATGGTTGACCTGGTTGTGTAGCGTAAGATCCTTACTGTAGTAAACCAGCTCGGTTCTTTTTGGAAAGACCATCAAATCAATAGTTGTTGGCATCCTAGGGATCCCATTTTGAGACATGGTGTGAATTGGACGTGTCACAGGTTGGTGGAGCGATGTGCCGGTCACCCCCTAAACGCTCAGCGGAAATGGTTTGGAATGGGCATGCACTTTTTTGACGAGGACTCAACATAGAAGAATGGATAATCATCTACTTGGTATACAGTCATAGTTATAGAATATAGTGACAAAATCCCGGTACACCGTATACCCTTGACACAATCCTATGGGCCCCCAAACCAAGAACATCAGGGGCCAATTGGTGAGCAACACGTTTGAGGCACATTTGCGGAAAGCCAAGATGAAACTCTTGAAGAGGCAGATGACTCCAGCCGAGAGTTTGTGGCCAGTATATAGCTTTGTTTTTGAAGCTGTGCTTGGAACAGATCTATGACCAAGTGTACCATTCCAGAAAGCCAACTGGACAGAGTGGACATTCCTCCCCAAAGAACCTGTTACATCTGGTACTGAGAAAAGGAAGCTGAATCATTGGCTGGATCGAAGAGGCTTGGTTTTCAAGCAGCTGAGCAGCGTTTCATAGATCTAGCAGCGGCGATGGTCCGGCATCACCCACGCGGTGTGGAGCATCACCCACGCGGTGTGGCTCCGTCGCATCCAGTTTTTGCGGTGAGGCTCCGTTGACATCAAAAGAACCTCTCGCAACGACCGCTTGGTCAAAAGAATATCGAGGATCAAACGTTCTGAGGGGTCTATTTCAATATTTTCTGGCCCAGACGGCCGTCCCATCGCTGCCTGCTGGAATATTCCGGTGCCTTTTGAACAAATGGGCCTGAGCGGGGGGTGGGATTGCAGCGTCGTGCGTCCACCTTCCGTTCTGAAGGGGTCACAGCGCACAAGTTCAGAATAGTTCAGAGACCCAATCTTAGAAGCAACCTCACTATGGCACGGAACGCCCTGGGCTTTCCACTGCCTACACTCCTATTGTGCCTTGTCAGACAGGAGGAGTGGTGTGCTTTTTTAAAGACTGTCTTCCAGGTCCCTTTTTTGTTTTCGCAGCATTTTCTGTGCGACTCGTAGGGAATGAGGGGCATCATAATTATCTCCTGACATTCCCTACTGCAGGTCCATTCCTCCATTGCCCTACAAATTAAGCAACAGGTGTCAGTTTTTGGGTAGCTCAATCAGAAACTGCGTTTCGTAAGGCTTCGCAGCAGGAGTGCAACGAGGAGTTTCATGTAGTACTTTTGTTGATGGCAAAGTATGGCAAACAAAGAGATGAACGGATTGATCACGAAGCATCATCGCGTCACGTCTATGAAGACTGTCCAAATCACGGCGACAAGGATTTCCGAGGTGTCCCCAAAAGCAAACTCTGGTTTTGCTTATTATGGTGATTTCATGTGATTTCTATTTTCCCTCTGGGTAAATCCTCTTTGGATTATTTTTCAGTTTTTCTTGGTTCCTGGACAGTCGCGGACTTGCTATTTGGCTTGTTACTTCGCAGGACTCCCCGGTCAACATCATCCATGGCTTTTCAAATGCCATTGACCCTCAAAGCTGGCTTTTCAAACTTCTCTTTGGATTTCCGGCTCTCCGTTTTTTTCCAGAAATTCTGGTGAGTCATTGTGGCATCTTGTGGCAGGGACCCGCGGGTCCCAGAGGGTGTTCGAAGCTTGGAAACCCACGACGCTGTTGTTCCTCCCCCATCTCGTTTGCCTTTTTGAAGCAATACTCTGATGCGCCAAATGTTTGACCAGCGGAGCAGGGGAAGGAACAAAACGGGCTGAGTCCAAGACGAAGAAACGGTTAACGATGAGTCGATGATATACATAAAGAACTGGTAGGATATTGTCGCTTGATGGGGAACGTACAACAAGGCTACTTGCTGATACTTTTAATTACTCTTTACCTTTCAACCCTACTTGGGAATGACCACCCTAGTCGACAAACATTCTTGGGAAGAGTTTGGCCACCATCCAGATTAGATTCTCGGATGGGAAGACCATGTGGATGGATCGGTCCATCTGTCTTGGGAGAAGAGGACACATTCGAGGGTGGTCGGGTAGTCCAAACACATCCACCCAGCACAGTGAATAGGAAAGAAGCAGAACAACTCCCTAGCAGTATTCCAGTATACTTTGGCTATAAATTTGCTATTCCAGTATTCCCATATTCCAGTATGACTCCCTGGCAGTAAATTCTAAGTCACGGATCGTCATAGTTACTTTGGCTTTGTCTAGCTTGAGCAGCCCTGTTTTGTTCTTCGCTGCTCCGATAGCCAAGCGACCAGTTCGACAATTTCTGGGGAGTGGCAAGAGCGCATGGCCAGTCCTCCCCCACTGACTTGGTGAAGCTCAAGCTGATGAACGGATGGTCTTTTGTAGCATACCTGAAATTCGGGGCCACTGTTCAGGGTCCAGATGCCACCGCAAAAAACATACCTGTGGGAACACTGTTGATGACCCAAAAACAGCGGAGCTTGACGAAGTGAGCAGTGCATTGAGAGAAGTGTGAGGAGCGATGTCTTGACCGAAGTGTTCTTCCATTTTTTTCATCATTTGTTTCTACTGTAATTGAGATGGCCTCCACCCTAGTAGCGATGGCCTCCACCCTAGTAAGGAGTCAGGATGAAAGACCGAAGTTTGAAACCACCATGATGCGGATGTGCGCTGGACACTTACTCTAATGAATGCAGAGTAGATCAAGATGTGGGAGATCAAGACGTAGTTGGAAAACTCAAGCAATCACTAAGTTCATGCAATGTTTTGGCTTCCACGCACTTTTGCACGCCGGACTGACGCAGGTTTTAAGACAAGACATCGCATGGAACGCTTCCATTTCCCGTTTGACCGGAGCTTCCCTCCCGCACGGCACTGGTGCTGTCCTCACGGCACCTTATGGCTGAGCAGGACCCAAAAAGTGGTGGCCGCTGCGACCTTATTGGTTCTGGATGGCGAGACGACTCGACTTCATCTCTTCCCTCGATTGGCCCACTCCGTAGGAAGCCTGGTGGGCCCATGAGACGCGTCTCGGTTCGAAACATTTACTCCACGCGATGGCCCAGCTTTCTCCAGTCTTCCAAGGTGTGGAGCAGGTGTTTTGCTCATGGCATTGTACAAAACCCTTGGAAAAGGGAAGGACCAAGTGATCAAAAGAGGTGTTTTTCTTTAAATTTCTGCTGAGCAGGGCAGATGCCAGAGTTGGAACTTCCCTTGCGCAGGCTGAACCTCGTTGGACCGTTCGTTCGGCTGAGAGAGCCCACCGCTTCGCACAAAACGAGCTATGTAGAGAGATGCAAACCACACAGTTTTTTGGAACGTACTATACACTTCTGAATGGGGACCCCTAAACAAACCGAGAACCAAGTTGACCCCTGTTTGAATAGGAAAACATCTTTTGGGTGGTGTGTGATCTAAACTAGGGATCACTCAGGTTCTAGGTGTACAACAGTACAGTGCTGGGATCTCTTTCCTGACTTTGCCAGCAATGCCTGTGCAGCCATTTTGGGAGTGCCCGCGTCCAATGACATCGAAAGAGTATCAACACCATTCAACACCAATCCCGAAAAAGCGCCACTGTATTACACTGATTGCAAGATTCGTGTGCCCAGATGTCTGTTTCTGCCAGCGGCTTGACCATGTTGGGAGTTATTGCAGCTCCATATTCTGGCAAAACGCATGCCATTGTCCAGTGCAACGAACACAGAACAACCACCCCAAGCGCCCAAGCAATTCGAGCAGCACCCCACCTCTTTACACACCCATACACATCCTGATGATTCAATAGAAGCTTGCCCTATAGAAGTCCAGGTTGGGAGGATCTTTGCCCCCATTGAAGGAAAGGAAGTTCGTGGATTCGACTGGGCGCAATCCGGTCTGGTGATCTCGGTGCGGGTGATCTTCCCCCACCGGGCACCGTAAAACGTGGACTGGACTCCTAGGGGAAGTCGCCCTGGAAGTCCAAGCTATACAATTGGTCCAAAAACATCGTCAAGCATGTTAAACAAAGACATACAGTCATGAAAAAAACATGAAAAAAAACCCAACACGACAGAGTGATTACCATGTGTGACCATGTGTGACGACCAGAGTGATGACATACATTTGACGAAGCTCCTTGTTGCACCCGAAACACCGAAGCTCCGTGCTGCACCGTGCTTGGTCGGCGATGCCGCAGCCTGCGGAGCGCTGGGCAGCGGCTCCTCGGCGCGGCGGTGTTTGGTACGCTATATAATGACGTAGAGTTCCAAGGGGGAGGTTGGATGATAGGTTGATATATGTTGATACACCTGTAGATTGAATTGCCGTTTAGGGTCTTTACATCTATTTTTTGAATGGTTTCTGGGTTCTCGACAGCCAAGGGGGCGTTCAGGGCAGTGTTGGGGAGTGTCAGGGAAGAGTTCGTCTTTTCATGCAGGGAATCGAGGAGGTACAGCTGGTGGTTTTGAGGAGTGCCTGTCTTTGTGAACGAGCACCGAATGAGATTTTGCTTGGATCCAGACTGATCATGAATGATCCAGATGTCACTGCACAGAGAATCTCCTGTTCAGTTTCAGCACCGGGGAAAACACACTGCTCCATCCACGACAGGACGGCATCCATCCGCTCCCCATTTGGGCTCCGACCCGAGCCCGGCAACCGCTGGGGTCGGGTCGGTGGTCTATCTCATTTTCATCTCAGTCCTGTCCTATTTCGCAACCGAGACATGCCTGAGTCCACTCCCAATGTCTTTCTCCATCCACCCTTTCCTTGAAACAAGGACCACAGTAACTATCCTATTGATCACACCGCAACCATCCGCAACCGAAACCCCTCCGAACCCTTCCAATTTCCGCTTTCTTGCGGCACGAGGACCTTTGCGGTGGCCGACTCCAGACCTTCTGCTGGGAAACGCCCGAGACGGGCGAGCGCCTGGTCCGCGTCTGGACGCCGCCCGGGTGGACGAGGGGCGCCATGCCGTTGGCGTTGTGGCTCAACGACGGTGGGGAGGCCCAGGTCGGCTTCGGGCGCAGGCGCAGGCGCGTGGAGCTCACGCCTTCGGACGCCTGCCCCCGGCCGCTTCTCCACCCGCCCAGCCGCTGAGGCCAGAACCTCTTCCGAGACGAGGAGACCCGGGAGCGGAGACGTGGACTTTGCCCCCCCCCCCCGCAAAAACTCCTTTTCTCCCCAGAAGCGAAGGGAACAAAGAAAGATGACTTCACGAGAGAACAGAGGAACGTCGTTTTTCATCCATTTTTTTCCCACTTTGGAGCTTCCAACCCCTCCAACTCCTCGTCTTCCTTACACGTCCCGTCCGCCAGGACGCCTTTGGTGGCGCCTCTTGGGGTGCCGCCGGCACCGTGGCGCATTTGATCGCCGCGCAGCGCATCCCGCCGTGCCGTGGCGGAAGAGACGGGTCGTCGGAAGAGGCGTTTTCGGAGGGGAACTTCAACAGTCGGAAAGGTGATGGAAATGGACGAACCACGGTGATGTGCTTGGCCTACTTCCAGAGAGGTGTTTCTTTTGTTCGACTTGATGCTGAGGGTGATGTGTTTTTGTTGGATCCTACAGGCACGAAAAGAAGCACCTCACGCAGCGATCCGCAGCCGCCCCCTCCACAAGTCCGGTTCCACCATTTGCCCGTGCTGGAAGGTTTCAGGACAAAAAGGAAAGGGGGAAAACGGCGACCGCGAGGACGAACCAATGAACCCTATCGTCATTTGAATCACCCTTAAACCATTTGATCACCCATTTTTGCCGGGCAACAGTCACCGTTCGTCATTCTCATGTCAACGGACCTTCTGTCCCGCCACCGGGACGTCGTGAGCTCAGGATCCTCCTGCTGGGCATCGATCATCGGGGTCCCATGAGGAGCGGGTTACGTAGGATCGGTTTGTGGAGGATCCAAGGAGGATCCAAAGAACCCCGGAGTTGGGTGGTCCGCCATGGATGAAGAAGGCAACGCATCTGTTCAATGCAGAAGGAAGCGAGCTGTTTTCTTCGATGGTTTCTTAGACTGCAACACCAGGTGAGCCGACCTGGCTGAATGGTCGAACTGAGGGTGAAGGGGTAAAAGATGGGTAAAGCCGGTAAAGCTTTCAGGTGTGAAGGATTGTGAAGGACGCATCGAGTTGGATGAAATGGGACCTCCAAGCTGGCGGCGAAAAGGCCTGAGTCTGGTCCACTGACCCAGACTATCCATGTATGGAATAGTTACATCCCTAGGGATCCAAGTACCTTCTCAGAAGGTACTTGGACCCTTGAAACCTACATAACAGTGTCTCCAATCACCGTCTGAGAAGGTACTTGGATCCCTAGGGTACTACTAACCATTCCATACTTTGTATGAAATTGTCTGGTCTATGGAGAACCGTTGATGAACTGGCCCAAGATGGCCGTCTTGGAACGTTCCACTCGCGTGACTGAGCTGTTGCAGTTCGATCCCTAGACTTCTATCTCGACTGTTTCACTTGGCCCCAGAAGCGAAGCTTGAGCCCTGGGGTCCCCCGCCCCTCTCCTGATCTCCGCCCTCGCGACGTCATGAGAGGACCTTCGACTACTTGTCGGTGCCGCCCACGGGCTGGGACGCGCCCTGGGGCCAGGGCATGCGCGGAGACATGTGGGATGCCCCCGGCGGAGGTGGGGGCTCGACCGGAGGGAGCGCTGCGCCGAGCTGACCGGGCGGGTGGTGTTGCGCTTGATGATAGTGAGACCATGTGAAGCCCCCACAGGACGAGGTCTTACAATCCATGATGGGGGGTCATTCATCAAGGGTCTACAGTCTACAGAGATATACAGAGATCATCAGAGATCTATTTAAGGTTCATTGGAGCCATTCGATCACCCCTTCGGCTTGATCCGACGTGCCGAAGCTATAAATCCAACCGCTCACCGCGCAGCGGGTGAACCCGCGCAGCGGGTTCAAGCTGTTGCATAAAGCCTGGGGTTACGACATAGGCTATTACAGGAACTGTCTGGGAGTCTTTAGAAGCGCTCAAATTTGGCCATGAAGGCTGTGGTGAAATGGGAGTCACCACATCCAAAGTTCACCTGGTTCTCCCAAGTGACCTTTTGATATCCCAGCTTGGGGGTCACAAACGGGCCGTGTAAAAGGTCCCTGGATGGGACTCAACAAAAAGGGTCTTCGGAAGCTGGCAAATATCGCCTGGTCGGGGTTGCGGAGTTGCATCAAACGATGGATGAGACGATGGTTGGTCGGAGGTGTCTTGCCGCAGGTCATGGCAAGGTTGACCAAGTACCATGCACAGTAGAGTCTTGATTACTCCAGTAAGGAGATGATTTGTCAAAAGACCCCTTGTGCCCTTGACCCCTATCCAATTCCATGCAGCCTTTCCAGCAGCCTAAAGATGACCGGTTTTCGCAAGAACTGGGGAACAATGACAATTCGCTGAGTTTTATCCATCAAGAGTCTACATTCGTCGTTCTTTGCAGCAGTTCGGGCTCTGAATCTTCCGCCCTCCACACCCTCCACGCGACCCGCGTTGCCCGCCATGGCTCTCCGTTTGGCCCTCCTCTTGTGGCTTGGCTCGTATGTTTGGGTCCTCGTATGTTGGGGTCTTCAGCACCAAAGAGCAGCACCACACAGTGGCCAGGGTGCTTCTTCGGCGTTTTGCGTCAACACATGGCCAGGAGGTCTCTCCACGGTGAACCCGTCGGCCACGGTGGCGGTCGGCGGTGGTCGAGCCTCGCCCTTCTTTCGGCCGGTCGGCCGAAAGACGGGCCACGGGTGCATGGGATCTTCTGGTTTCACTTCACCACTAACCAACAGAGGTTGAAGGGCCCGAACTTGCCTATCCCATAGGTACCCCAGTAAGGTCCTGGTTCAGGTCACTGGCTACCTCTCTTGGAAGAGTGGGGCGATGCAGATTCGTGGCCCACTCTTGATGCTTGTTTTTCCATGGGCCCACTCACGCTCGTGGCCCACCAGGTAAACAGGTCTGAGGTACCATGAGGTACCATTCATCAGGTCCACTCCCCGTGAAATATCTTCTAAGAAAGGAATAGGAGTGGAAGTAGGAGTAGGAGTAGTAG